TTTTAGTTTCTCTGTAAGTATGCATTGATTAAGCGCCTCCGATTTCCCTCTCTTTTCCCATCAGTAGCAGCTTTTAAGAAAGGAAAATCAATCATCATGACCCTTCACTGACACCCTTTCCTTTCTGTACTCAACCGTCAAAAGCTTTTCTTTTTTAATCCTCTGAACGATCCCATCTTGTCTTCATTGTTCTTATCGCTCAGAAACCCTTCTGTAAAATCTTCCAATGGCTAAACACTCCAAGAATCCATCTGCCTCCACAAGAAATATTACTCGTTCTAAGGGAAAACCCTTTTCTCAGCCTCCAGAACAAGTAGACCTAGGGTCTGACCACTCAGAAGGGTTTGCCTCTTCTCAGGCAGAACCATCTGACCACTCACACCGAATAGGAGAAAACACTCTTGGCAAAAGGCCCATGGAAGACCCCCTTGAATCTTTTACCCCCAAAAAACAAAGGTGGACCTCTCGAGTTCTCTAGAGTCCGACCTCAATTTCTGGAATACCCCAAATAGGGATTTCTTTGTTGCTCTCAAAGACAAGCCCATTGCTCACGGGAGAGTAATCGATCTTGATGACATGGATGCCCTCAATTGTAAGGTAAAGGATTTGTTTGTTTTTCAAAGATGGTCTAAATTCCTCTCTGTACCCCCTCCCAAAGTTTATAAACCTTTAGTGAGTATGTTCTATGCCAATCTTTATTCCAGCAAGCCTGATAGGTTAGAATCCCTAGTTATAGGAAAACGCATTGTCCTTGATTGTGCAATATTTGACTCAATTTTTCAGTGTAAGTGCTATGGTTTTCCCATAATTTTCAAAAATACTTGGCATGATGACTTTGAAATCTCTTTTGATAAAGCAAAACACTGTATAGCTGAGTGTCCATCTGATTTTCTTCCTAACCAGTTAGGTCCCAGCGATGTTAGTTTCGAAACCCAAGTTCTAGCCCACATTGTTGCAACTACCCTTCTTCCTTGCACTGGCTCATTATCCACCTTCTCTCAATGAGACACCTTTCTTGTCTACTGTCTTATGACCAAACTTAAGGTTAAACTGTCCTCATGGGTCATAAACTTCATGATTGAAAGTGCTGATGACCCCACTAGTCTACTTTATGGTATGGCTATCATCCACATCTTGGAAGCCCACAACATCTCTATCTCAGAATACCCCTTTGTTTCTGTTTCAAAGTCCTACAAATTCAGAGCCTTTTCCAGTATGGGGTATGTGTGTGTTAAAAGTTCCTAGGTAAAGAAACATGAGGGTGAAGTCAAGAATGTTCAACCTGATTCGAAGATCAAAGCCTCAGTTTCCCATCATAGTGTAAGTGATCCTGATCTTGTAGAAAAATTGATTGATATTGACAACAAGCTGACCATCATCAAGGACCTTCTTGCTGCAACTCAATCAACCCATGCCATCTCCAAAGAGACTGGGCCCAATGTTTCAAAGATAAGGGTCAAAATTCTCAAACTTGTAGAAAACGCAGTCAAAGCCTTCAAGGAAGTACATGACAAGATTGATAAGGTGACAGTTTCAGCTAATGCCAGCTTTGAGCGTCTAAAGGAGGCGATTTGCAACACTCTCACTTATTTCTTGCGTCGTTAGTTGTGGATGTTTCAGACAATCTTTTGCCATTTTGCTGTTTTGGACTGGATAACCAGTCGCTGGATATTTTCTTTACTTTTGCTAAACTCTGCATGCCTATAATTTGCAAATATTTGCCTATGATGTGCCCGTCTCTTCTTAATTTCAACTGTACATATGCATGTCCCCTCTTTGCTGATGACAAAAAGAGGGAGAAAAGATAGTCATACATTGCAGGACAAATAACAACACTTGTTGAGGGAGAGTCGACTAAAGCATATGCAGCACATGTTGAGGGGGAGTCGACTGAAGTACATGCAACACTTATTGAGGGGGAGTCAACTACTGCAGAGCAAGCCGACATGGAAGTAAACTATTGTTTATATATAGGGAAAAGGGCCAAATATACCCTTCTACTTTCAGATATTGTCTACATTTAACCTCCGTTATACTATCTGACTAAATTTACCACTACCGTTATACTATCAGGCCAAAGTTACCCCTACAATCAACAAACTTCTAAAAATTACCCCTCAATCCGTCAGGTGACCCAGAATCTCCCAAATCATTTTAATTAAGTTACTGTTCTTCTTCTTGGTCCACTATTTTCGAAATAATTGGCATTTACCTGCTTTCTGAATTGGAGAAAAAAATAAGAGAAAAAAATATTAAATAATACAACAGTTAATAAACGAAATATAGTTATTTGAAAAATCTAAATTAGGTAGTTTGTCTAAATTCTAAAAGTATTTACAATATCCCAATTTTAATTAATTCGTTGCACCAAATGTATGAGGACTTTGCAAGTATTAGTGATTGAAGTTGAAGTTCCTCGGAGACTTTACATTGTCGAATTCAACTTTGCTTTAATCAAATGCATACACATTGTGCACTTTTAAGTTAGTCGATCGAACTTTATACTAACCAGATAATGACAAAATATATTTGAATATACATGTACATACATAATGATCAGTTGCATATAATTCACAATAAATAGACCCACTAAATTTTACAGTATGTATATGGTTGAAAATTAAAATAAAATAATTAAACTAATTCCAAACCCATTATTACAAGAAGAGAAGTGGGTGCATCAGTAATTAAAAATATTCATGAATAATTTGTATAGTCTAGTAACTTTAGCATTCACATCAATAGTAATTTCTAAAAATAGTGGAGCAAGAAGAACAACAAGTGATTTAAATAAAAGAAATTTGGGAGATTTTGGATTACTTAACACATCAAAGAGTAATTTTTAAATGTTTGCTGATGATTGGGGTAAGTTTGGCCAGATAGTATAACGGTAGGGGTAAATTTAATCGAATAGTATAACGAAGGTTAAATGTAGACAATATTCGAAAGTATAGGGGTATATTTGACCCTTTTCTCTTATATATACTCCTTCCGTTTTAAATTAGATGAGGTACTTTCCATTTTAGTCTGTTCCAAATTAAATGACATATTTATAAATTTAAAAATAATTCAACTTTAAACTCTTCATTTTACCCATTTTATCCTTAGTGGGAAATACACAAATGTCATGGCCCTACAAAGCTTTTACCCCTTAAGCTTTTAAGACCACAAGTTTCAAAAGTCTTTTTTTTTTCTTAAACTCCGTATCGAGTCAAACTATCTCATCTAAATTGAAACGGGGGAAGTATTATTTTTGTCATCATCAAAGGTGGAGATTGTTAAATATGAGTTTCAATGATGAAAAAAATAATATATTACGTTTGGTGCAGGATCACAAGGGATAAAACAAAGAAATCAAGATTCCATATCATTCAAGCATGGACTAAGGAAACAATCTATCAACGGAAGAAAAGGAAAGAAAAAGTATCAATGATTAGCTATGAAAAAGGAAGAAGCAGCGAAAATCCGGAAGAAGAATCAATCAATGATTTGATAGATGATTGACGAAAGCTAGTATAGGAAGGTCCCAAAATCAAAGGAAAACAAGAGTGCAAAGCCCTACACTGGAGATCGTTAAAGCCCAAAATCAGGGGATCCATCATCAATCACTCAAGTAACGGAAAGATCTGCCCAACGGAAGAAAAGCCTGTCAAGGCCACAAGTCAAGGAAGATCAACGGAAACCTGACCTTATTCTTGGAAAGAATCAATTTGCGATTCCGTTCAAGGATCAATTCCCTTGGGTTTGTAATCTCTCAAGACTCATGTCAATCAAGAGTCAAGAAGGCCTCATGAAGTATATATACATATGTTCCAGGCTTGAAGCAGATATACTTTGAACAAACCATTATCACTCTTTTTGTTCTACTCCAAACAAGCTTTGTATTTCTTTTTCGATATGCTGTGTAATTAGTGAGAGAAGAAAAAGAGATAAACACTAGTGAGGCATTGTATCAAGAAGAGAAAAGTGACATAGAGACTAAGCTGTTGGTGTAAAGCTACATCAATTATCTTGTACTCGAGAAACTTCAAATACTGAAAGAGATCACCCTTGTAACCCAAGGGGACTGGACGTAGGATTCACATTGAATCCGAACCAGTATAAAAATCTTGGTGTCTNTATATCTATGTTATATTAAAAGAGAAGTAATATCAAAATATTAAGTCAATTGACAAGTTAATAAAACTTTATATTAGTAAATATATAGTACTAAGTAATTGCTAATTTAATAAAGAATAAATAAGTAATAAATAATTTATTTGATTACTATGTGATGTGTATCCTTTGGTTTTGAATAGATTTTGTTATATTTCTATATACTACACTAAATAATGAAATAACAACTAATATTTATTAAAATAATATGATATATTAGATTATAATTTTATAAGATTAATAGTCTATCAAATTATTCGCGCATCGCGCGAGTTCTAACACTAGTGTCTAAAGAAAAAAAAAAAAAAATTTGAAGAAACTGAACACACACATTCTTTCTCTGATTGGTTGTGAGAGAACAACCATTACCATATATATATATATATATATATGAAGATAACAAACAGTAAAAATGAAGCGTATTTCTTGGGTTGTTTTCTTAATCTATTATGCGAATCTACTTTTTCTGACGGGTTAGTAGTACTCACGTCATCCTTTTTACAGTGATCAACTAATAATTGATAATGCATTGGTAAATAAAATCTGGAGGAGTTGGAGAGCCTACAGAAATTTGCTAGTGTCCGCTGACCAACGCTCTTTATTTTCTCGAGTATAGAATACGAGGGAGATACGTTTTTCTAGTGACTGGAATTTAAGATTCATTTGATTAGCTGGTTTTATAAATAAAGTGATTGTTTCTGATGAAACAGAAAAAGCATACGGGGGAGGTAAAGTACAGTAGGAAAGCTCGAAAAAAAAAAACCCGTAAAAGCACATACTACCATTTTAGACATACTCCATCTACCATTGTATCTAATTACTGATTTAATCCGTAAAGATCCAGATAAAAAATTCTATGCTGTATAGATATTTAATTTACACATGCTTAAATCACGTTACAATCTAGTTATCCACAGACATAAATAATAAAGAGTATAAAACTTTATACAAATATTTACACAAGCTTATTAATCACTAATTTATTACCCATAGTAACCACTTATAATAATAATGATAGAATGAAGATTCCATTAACCTCGGAAAGGCGGTGAACTCCGATTCTACCCATTCACCTTACCACAAAACCCTACCAAATCTTGCCTGTACGGCAAGTACGACTTCCGTTTAATATCACCTCCGATCTTCGGGCAACGCACTGCCGGAAAACCATTACCGACGGGAATCCCGGCAACTTTTCCTGCGATTTTAGCAGAGTCAACCGCCGTCGTACTCTCTGCTTTCTCCTCTCTTCTTATTAAACGCAGTCGTCAAAAACACGAAAGTATCTTTACCGTCGCTGTTACTCCGGTGAAGAAAGTCTCTTAACTTCCACCGCTTAGAGGAGGAGCCGGTGGATTTGCTCTTCTTACATTGTTCAGTTAGAGTATCTTCCGCCGCTCTCGGCCTCCACACGCAGTAAGTTCCCGGAGGAATGCTTTCTAAGTCGTCGGCTTCCGACGACGAACAAGACGGCGTAGTTTCACGCTCCGCGATGAAAAGCTTCCTTAACGGAAGTCGAATTGACGCCGTCGGAGCCCAAACCTTGAATTGAACATCGCGTGAGCATAAATCTGTGTTGAAAATTGGACGGATCTGACCGTTGTAGAAGATTTCATCAGCAGAAATAGGTGAAAATTCAGATTCTGTATTAATAAAAGCAAACTCAAAATCATCATCACCGTTCTCTTCGTTTTGTTGTTTTTCCAGTTCAGCTTTCTCATTCAAAATCTGTACTGCACAGCTGAATGTCTCATTATTATCACTGAAGAAAAATTCGGAATCTGTTTCATCTTCAGCGTTGAATTCTTTGACAACTCTAGCAGCAATTTCGGTGAGATTTGTGTTGGAATTATAAAGAGTGAAACTCGAAGACTGCAGGGACAACATCGGACTCGCTTGCATTTCTCTGATATATATATATATATATATANTCCTTGTTTTACAGTGTTTCTTTTCTCTTCAGATTATATAGGCTAGTTGGAGGACAGGAGATAAAGACGACATGGTTCAGAACGCGGTAGATAAATAAGAGTAGTGACAAGTGATGATTGTTGGAATATGTACAGAAAAATACATTGTATTAGATAATTCATGCACCAAATTATGTTAATATGACAAATCTATATATTTATATAATATAGGGGCTTAAGGCAGGTGAAGTGGCACTCTATATGATTAGGAAAGGCATTTATCTTTTTTCACATTTTTTTTTCTATTTACTATAACTATTCAGGGAAAGAATGTGATGCTTTTTCTCTTGCCCGACGCAACATATGGTACGTTAATTATGCACTTCAATTGTTGAGTATTCAGGGAAGAGGTCAACTTAAATGAATGATAGATGTGCTACTCAAAGACCAATTATCCTACTTTATTACAAAAAATCTTTGTAGAACTTATCATTCTGGTAGTAATACCAATAACAGTAGTTCATATCACAAATAATTTTTATTGACGTATAATATTTCTGTATTTGTTTGGTATACTTCATGTTTACTCATTCATATGAATAAGAGAGCATTGATCCAAGATTAAAAAGAAATCTCTTTTACATTCTCAACTTATTGTAAAATTTGACGTCTAAAGTGATTGAACTAGAAGTATTTTATTACTTTATGTCAGTCCTCTTATAATTATGGTATACATGATAAGCAATTCTCAGGTGATTTTCTGATTTAAATACTTATAGTATCATAGAAATAAGTGTTGTTTTTCTTTTCTATTATTATTATTATTATTATTGTTGTTGTTGTTGTTTCTCTTGATTTAAACAAAATAGTTTCCTTTTCTCTTTTGGTAATAGGATTAAAATAACCTTAGTAACTATTCTGAAGCGAGATATTTGAGATTATACCTTATATCATAGTGCATCAAGAAGGCCACTTGTAGAAGCAGATAAATCGAATTTTATATGTACCCTTATAATTTATGTTTAACTTTTCTGGAACTGCTATGATAATTTCATTTATTTTCTGTACCATTTGTTAGTGGGAAAAGGAGTCCTGGCTCTAACCAAAGACCGCCATTTGTCAGAATCAAATCTAAATTTTATTACAACTACTATCTTTAAAACTAAAATTTGTACGTTAACTGTGTGAAAGATTTAAAATTAGTTTTTCCTTTTCCTTTCTTCCATTTTCAAGAGTTAACCATAACGAAAATAAAGTTTTGATTATTGATTCAGTATAGAACTTTCATCTTATCTAAAACCTTATTAAATATATAACTTGGTTCAGTGAAAGCAAATAATATCAAAAAAGGATCTGACATATATTCCTTGACAGGAGTGATATTCAATCCAAAAGAAAAAAACACTTTTCTTTTCTTTTTGATCAATTTCTATGGTATCAACTTACTAGATAGTTCTGTTTTTTCCTTTTTTGTGCTTTGTGTTAGTAGAGGAAAAAAGTTTTGGCTCCAAGCAAACAAATATTTTATCTCTTCTATCTAAATTTATGTTATTAAAAAATTATTTCTAAATTCACAAACTTAACGCGCGAAGCGCGGATAAATATACTAGTTTAAGTAATAAATTAAAATGATACTTACTAATATAGTAGGAGTAAGTAACGATGGTTAAGTAATAAATAAAACTTAATTAATATATTTAGAAGACGTATATCGTAATATTTTATTCTTGTTTTTGTTTTATTGATACATCCATCGTATGTAAGCACTTCACTACTCTTGAAGAATAATGGTTTAACCAAGTTATAATAAAATACTAGGTCTAAATTTTAATTATATAAAGTTGTCGCAAATTAATTATAATGTTCTGATGGATTAATCTATTTCATTTTTACTAATTATAAAAATGCAATATACATATTCTTACTTGTTTTTGGTGTGTCTGTGAATGATTATAAAACTTTTATATATGAGTTAAATTAAATATATAAAATATAAAAAATGCTCCTGCTACTGAGCTATTTGATTTAATATCAAATGATCTCTACATTAGTCATGTCAATGGTATTAAATATATAAAAGCTAACTAGTTTTTAAGGAAAAATGTACAAAATCAAAGTGTAAAACAAAATGGACGGTCAACATACTATCTACATTTTAATCACGTTTAGTGTTGATTTGGTTGGCTGCATAAGAAATTAATTTTGATATAAGATATCGCATAATATACATATTATTATCACCTTAATCATCAGAATATTATAATATTTGAAGTATATAGACCAATAAGATATCTATCGATTTTCTTTTTTGTAGGGATGTTCAAAAACGAACCGAAACCGAAAACGGAAGCTTAATGGCTTGTTGGTATCGGGTTAACGGTTTAACGGACGGGAAACAAATTGAAATTTTTTTATTAACGGCTTATCGGTTTGGGGGCGGATTATTCAATTTTCTTA